ACCTATTGCATAAATTTAAAATGAAAAAATGAAGCCAAAAATAACATGTTAGGTTACATTTGCTTATGATAATTCAAATAAAAATTTGGCTTACATATTTTGAACACCTAAAATTTCCATATATGCTCTCTCTGACTTAAAAAGACAATCCACTATAATTTAACACACAAATCAATGAATAATTGTTAAGTGAGTTGGAATAATTACTTTGTATGCACTTCTTATTTCTAACCTTTCTGAAGTTCACAGTTTCCTCCTGTGTAGGGGTTGCATATAGTTTTGAAAGTTGTGATTATCAGGCAGGGATAAATTTAGAAATTGAAGTTATATGCAAACCCAATAAAAAAGGATTGGCTATGGGGCAGTGTGAGTATTTTTCTACTTCTTTAGGTAACAGAATGTTAAAAGGAAAAAGGTAAAAAATTTGTATTTATATCTTAAGGAAAAAGTATTTTAGTTCAGAAGATTTATATATATATATATATATATATATATATATATATATATATATATATATATATATATATATATATATACACTTTTGTCATGGCGGCTTATTGTAGCCCAAGAGTTCTGTTATACCTGCCGTGGATAAGAGGGCCGATTGTGAGCTGCTCAGCTTCATGGACGCATTCTTGGGCTACCACCATATCTTCATGCCCTCGGACGGGTGGGGATGTCATAGGGGGTGGTGTTGCTAGAGTAAAACATCACAAGGTTAATTATTTTAAGCTATAAATATATGAAGTATATATGAATTTCCAGTTGTTAATTCATCTCAATCAATCCCTTGAGACCGATACAAAGATAAAAAGCTTTGATCTTTGTTGGGCTTAGAATCGTCAAACTTAACAAATGAAGCACTTTAAAATTGTTATTATCAACGGATCATGCAATAGGTCCATGGAATTTGTGATCTCAACTCTCAAAGGATCAAAGGGGAATTCACTTATGCGGGTTTGAACTAATATTTTATATCTTGCAATCACATGGAGACTTTGAATGGATTCATGATTCAAAACAATAATCAAATGATATACTAATAGTGTGTTAATCACACAACATTTAAGTAATTGTTTAAGTTTCACTCTAATGTCGAGTATTAGCATGACCGATACCATATATCACAACTTAGTTTCAATCTAAAATAACCAAACCATAGGAGGAAATGCTAGCTTTTGGGTATAAATTAAACTACCCCTCCTGTAATGTTCAATTTGCCTCAACAAAGTAATCCATTGGAGTCTTCTCTAGTGGCTTATTTTTTCAATCTCGACCGAGCAAGTTCTTCATCATCTCAGGCATATGTGATGGTGATTGTCCCACTAAGGGCTTAGTTGAGAAGAACTAAAGAAGGAAATATTGATGCACTTTATGAAAAAATGTTGGGAAGAAATTCTCGCTGCTTCACTTTCTTTAACACAACTTTCTAATAACTTTTAGGAAGGAATCCATTTTTGGATACATCGGAAAGTAAAATAACGCTAAATTAGAAGCTGATACTTTCCAAGCCGTTGGCATCCTCCTAGAGAGAGCGTCTCATCCAAGTAGGAGGCTCTTGAATAATAGACAACCCCTTTGAAGCTTGACAAGATGCATTAGCCAACATGTCTGCACATTTGTTCCCTTCGCGAAAACTGTGTTGTAGTTTAATAAATCTCTCTTCGGCCAATAGCTTCTGACAATCCCGCACCAGCACTCCCGTAGTAGTAGCACCATGTCCATCTCTATTTTTCAGAGCCTGAAGCATACTCTCACAGTTAGTTTCAACAATTACCTTCCTGAGATCGAGTTCCCGAGCTAAAAGAAGCCTTTGTCTTAAACCCCACAACTCTTCCCTAAAGCTATCAGTTTTTCCAATATTAAACATAAAACCACTCACCCATTCTCCTTTATGGTTTTGAAAAACCACCAGCTCCGGCCATCTTATCCCTACCTTGACAAGACCCATCACGGTTGAGTTTCAAAAACATGTGCTTGGCGGAATCCATTTTATATGTTTAGGTATTTTCCGTTGTCTGATTTGAGTATAAGGGAGAACATCGATATATTCTTCAGCCAATACTTAGGCAGAATTCACAAGGCGCTGTACATTAGGTTGAATGCCATCGAATATCATCGCATTACGTGTCTTCCAAATCAACCAACTTGTGTAAGCAAATATAACAACATGGGTAATTCTGCCCGGAGCGCCCATAGTGCTATGACAATGGCTACGAACCCACTCGAAGCTATTTAAGCTTTCCACTCCAGTCGTATCTAATTCCAAAGCAGTTTTCCTCCAAACTGATGACGTAAAAGAGCAGTCTCTGAGAGTATGCAACACGACTTCTTCTGCGTTGTTACATATTGGACAGCCTGTATCATCAGACATATGCCTCTTCCCTCTTTCCACATTGGTAAGCAATTTGTTTTTCATTACAAGCCACAAGAAACATTTAACCTTCTCTGCCACATGAATCTTCCAAATCCAACTTCAATCTTCATTTTCCTGCATAGACAAAAGAGATTCATAGGGTGATTTAACAGAGAATTGACCTGATTATGAAAGCCTCCAGAATATGCCATATGTGCACTCCTCATCCACTGAAATCGGAACAGCCCTCACATCCTCTACCACGTCCTCTGGAACTAAAGTTTCTAGTTTAGTAACATTCCATGCACCGTCATTCATGATGAGATCTGCCACTTTAAGTGTACTAGCAGACACTGAAAGTGGCGACCCAAGTTCCTCATGTAAAGGCCTATCTCTTACCCAAAGGTCAAACCAAAAGGATATGTCTCTGCCATTTCCCACATGCCAACCCATCCCAGCATTGAGAATGTTCTTAGTATGCAAAATATCACGCCATATATGTGATGTGTCCATCCCAAAAAGATGAGTTTTTGAGATATTTGGCTTTCATGACTTTCACCGACAACTTCTGAAAGTCCATCTGAAGGCCCAAACCACCCCACTCTTTAGGTTGACAAACCTTCTCCCAATTAACTAGATGGATTTTCGAAACACCTCTATTATTACCCCACAAAAAATTTCTATTAATTTGGTCAATACTGTCACATGTGCTAACAGTAGTGCATCATTAAATTTCGGGATTCACTTTTGTGTTTTTATTGAAGACATGCATGATGCATGTCTTTTTAGAACTCATAATCTAATACTCCCTCCCACTAATAATGGGACAAAAGGGAATGACACGCAAACCAACAAAAAGTGATTTATGTGGTTGATATTAAATTGATAAAGCAGGATTAAAGTAAGAATGATTTAGAGTCACACAAACTTTATCAAATTTAATACTCTTTCCGTATTTATATGTTCCCTACATTTGTTTTTGGTACAATATTTTAGGATAGAATAGTAAGGGTAGTGAATAGTGTAGAAAAAGTATGAGAGAGTGTGTACAAGTATGAAAGAGAAGATAAAAAAGTAGATAAAGTAAGGGTAGTTGAGCATTTTATAAAGAATTTTTCCACTTTTGGTCCTATGACTATGTGTTAAGTCTTATGTGTAGTCCTCTTCTTTAAAAAGTCTCATTTTAGATGCATGACTATTACACTTTAGACAATTTTGGTCCTCCGGTGACTTATCCGATCACTGCTAACATTTAAGGAATAAAACCTTACCTTTTCAGGGGTTTTATTGTCTTTTAAAGAAATCTATCCAATATAATCATAGCTCTCATTTGTTTTGCTTCTTCTCCAGATGAATGAAGCGTCGAGCACTGGAGAACAAAAACCCTAACATCTCCCATCCAAAAATGACGAGCTCTGTTTCCACAAATTCCCGGAGTGAATATTATAGTTATGGTGAATGGATTCCAATTACTCTCTGTCACTGTGGCCACGAGTTGAAGGTGGTGACCACATGGAGTAGTGAAAATGCAGGTAGGAGGTTTTTCAAATGCCCTAACTATGAAGTAAGTTATTCAATACTTGATGTTTTGTGTAAAACTTGTTTAGCAAAAAAACAGTAGTTTTTTTATTATATCATAGGGGAATGACATGGGAACAAATTGGTGATAGAATCTATGTAATTAATACTAACCAGTCTGCTTATTAAATAGAATCTATTTAATTAATATTTAATACTAACCAGTCTGCTACTTAACAGAGACATGGAGGCTGCAATTTTATGGAGTGGTTTGACCCTCCTATGTGTCAACGAGCCAAAAGGATAATTCCCGGGTTGTTGAAAAGGATTAATCGCCAAGTGAAGTCTTCTGTGAAGTGCATTGAAGTCCCATGTGTCCTGGTGTTAGCAGTGGTGGTCATTGTTAGCTTTGTACTTTGTTTCATTGTAACAATGAAAATGGAAACTAAAATGAGGACTTTGAGTGGGAAACATCTGATGTAATATGGAGGTGTAGCTAGTTTAATTTGCTGCAATTTAGAATCATGTATTTGGTGAGCTATTTGTAATGGTTTGTGTATTTGTTGCACTATCATACTAAAATAATGCAGCTAGTTTGTGTAATGTGACCCTCTAATATCTATAATGAGTAGTTACTTTTTATGATCTAATATGTTTTATTGAATAAGTGATTTGCATTGAGTAAAGCAAGAGCAATGAAAACCAGCGTGTCATTGAGTAAAAAAGGAGTTCCAGGAAGTGAAAAAACTGCATGTTGAGTTTCTTATTATCAACAAAATGCAGATTGAGTAAAGAGTGCATATTCTGTCCAGAAAAGTTGGCAGATTAGACTACACATTTAAGTTGGCAGATTTTTGAAAATGAAAAGTATCATGCATATTTTGTCTAGGAAGGAATACACATTAGAGTACACATGAAATTTGGCAGACTTTTTGAAAAAAAAAGAGCATGTATGTTCTGTTTTGAAAGTTCACCTCCTGAAAAAGTAATCCTACAAGTAAAAACCATGAATATGGTTTAATATGAATTGAGGTTTCTCATCTGTTAGTAAACATAAACATGCCTATATAAATGCACTGCATAAGCAAAATAAGAGTAAACATTCACAACATACTTAAACATAAAACACTGTGTTTCCTTCTCAATAGTGCCAAGCAAAAAACATCAGCAAAAAAATGAGTTTCCTTCTCAGTAGTGCCAATCTGTTTGTAAATAATGAGGTTTAATAAACATTACATTACTAAGCCATTGGCATCAACAAAAAACATACTAAACTGATTCACTAACATTACATTAATAATTGACAAAAACATTGTGCAAGCCAAGTCCATTACTATGTCCTTCATTTTGCCCTTTTGATAATTAGTTTACTAGAAGGAGCTCCAAAGCAAATGTTCACACCACAATTTGTCACTTTCATATTAGAAAGCTCTCCGGTATCACCTGTATCATAAAAACTATTTCCTTCACTAACACTTGCCCCATTTTGACCAGGCACCTCTGCCCAAGGAATGGTATGATTAGGGACTATTAGAGAATTAACATCAAATGATCCAATAGTACATTCCAACTCCAAGTCATGATCTTGGTTGTTCAAACTTGCAGCAGGCATATCACAACTGCTATATTGAAAGCCTGATACGCCCTGATCATTCACAATGTCATCCTCTAAGTTGATGTGCTCCTCAACCCTTTGTATGTTCTACTGCACCTCTTTTTCGGTTTCAGGAACTGTTCTTGCTGATTTTGTCTTCTTTTTAGGCTACAGAGTTGGTAAGCATATCGGGAAATTAGAATTACACATATATAACTAAAAAACACAACCGCAAATCAAAACTATATAAAAATAACTATAAAACCAGATTATTACCAGCTTATCTTTAGGTTTGGGATTATCTGGACACTTCCTACAATTGTGACCAGGTTTTTTGCAATTAGAGGAGTGTAATGTAATTCGGCTCCTAGCCACTCTTTCACCGTCTGTTGTAAGCTCACCAGCTGATTGTTTCCTCATTTTTTTTGGTCTCCCTGGCTTGTTAGAATAAAGTGGAGGAAGAGGGGGAGTTTTATCAGTGATAGGCCATTCCGCAGAACCTGACATTGGATTTATCGAGCCACTATAAATCTTCATGAATGTGTCTATCGAATAGTAAGGACTGACATAGTCATACACAGGACCCTTGCCATACTTAAGCCAAATTGCACACACTCCGTGTTTACAAGGTATTCCAGTCAAATCCCACATCCGACACGAACAAGTTCTTTGTTCTAGATCAACGTTATATTGCTCATCGTACATGCCAGTTATTTCAAATAGACTGTCAGTTGCTTGATATCTCAAATATCCAGCTGCCTTTTTTTCAATCTCTTCTATTTTTTTTAATAATCTTAGGACAAATCCCACATTTCCACTTTCTTCCCTTCTTTCTTGTGTCATAGAACCTAGTCATAAGCAACTTTCTTAGAGTTTCAAGGCATGTGACTACAGGCTGATCCCTAGCTTCTAATATGACAAAGTTAAAACACTCGCATATATATTATTAACCAACATATCACACTGTGCCGTGGTAGAGAAGTGTGATCTAGACCACTCACTCGGATGCTTAGCGGATACCCAGTCATGTGCCTTTTCATCTAATTCCTTCAACTTGGTCATCCCTGTGCTAAAAGAGTTCACTGTGGTGGCCCTAGCACATGACCATAATGCATTTTTCAATGTTGTTCCTTGGAAACCAACCACTTTCATGTTGCCATGTAAGTGCCTAACACAAAACCTATGATCTGCTCCAGGTAAGACCTCTTTACAAGGTTGAATTAAACCTTTTTGTTTATCAGACATGATAGTGTATCGATGTTCACTCTCCTCACATATATTCAAATCAGTTTTCAGAATTCTCAAAAACCAAGCCCAAGACTGTCTTGTTTCTCCTTCAACTATTGGATATGCAATAGGGAAGATGCTATTGTTTGCATCTATAGTCACAGCTGTCAGAATTTGACCACCAATGGTAGTCTTCAAGTGACACCCATCAATACCTATTAATGGTCGACAATGTTTGAATCCCTCTTTGCAAGCATCCCAACACATATAAAATCTCAGAAACCTACTTTCCTCACTCGAACCAGTCAAGTTACTTACTTTCACAACACAAGTTGACCTAGGATTAGTCTTTTCAATTTTTGCACAATAACTCCAAATCTTTTTGAAGTTATCCTCCTGGTCCCCTTGGATATGTTTCTTTGCATTCTGGATTGCTCTATAAGCTTGTTTGGTACTCATATGAATTTTTTCTTTGGTGCACACTTTCTTTCGAAATTTCTTCATTTTCCAATTGCTGTGGAACTGTATCTCTTTGGCCCATCTTTTTGCAACTTTGGTTGAAGTAACCATCTTGTTATGGTAATTCCAACCACACCCTTCATGTTTTTGTGAAAATCTCAATATCCTCCATGATAAAGAATGCTGCACTTTCCTTAGATTTATCATCCAAGGACATTCATCTTTCTTGCACTTCACAAAAAATCTAAGAGAATCATTTTTCACAAATTTCAAGTCATTCCCATTTAGAAATGCATACTTATGCAACGCTTCTCGAAATTCTTTCTTACTTGAAAATGTCAAGTAAGAAAGCATACTTATCCAGCTGCCTTTTTTTCAATCTCTTCTTTTTTTTTTTTAATAATCTTAGGACAAATCCCACATTTCTACTTTCTTCCCTTCTTTCTTGTGTCATAGAACCTAGTCATAAGCAACTTTCTTAGAGTTTCAAGGCATGTGACTACAGGCTGATCCCTAGCTTCTAATATGACAAAGTTAAAACACTCGCATATATATTATTAACCAACATATCACACTGTGCCGTGGTAGAGAAGTGTGATCTAGACCACTCACTCGGATGCTTAGCAGATACCCACTCATGTGCCTTTTCATCTAATTCCTTCAACTTGGTCATCCCTGTGCTAAAAGAGTTCACTGTGGTGGCCCTAGCACATGACCATAATGCATTTTTCAATGTTGTTCCTTGGAAACCAACCACTTTCATGTTGCCATGTAAGTGCCTAACACAAAACCTATGATCTGCTCCAGGTAAGACCTCTTTACAAGGTTGAATTAAACCTTTTTGTTTATCAGACATGATAGTGTATCGATGTTCACTCTCCTCACATATATTCAAATCAGTTTTCAGAATTCTCAAAAACCAAGCCCAAGACTGTCTTGTTTCTCCTTCAACTATTGGATATGCAATAGGGAAGATGTTATTGTTTGCATCTATAGTCACAGCTGTCAGAATTTGACCACCAATGGTAGTCTTCAAGTGACACCCATCAATACCTATTAATGGTCGACAATGTTTGAATCCCTCTTTGCAAGCATCCCAACACATATAAAATCTCAGAAACCTACTTTCCTCACTCGAACCAGTCAAGTTACTTGCTTTCACAACACAAGTTGACCTAGGATTAGTCTTTTCAATTTTTGCACAATAACTCCAAATCTTTTTGAAGTTATCCTCCTGGTCCCCTTGGATATGTTTCTTTGCATTCTGGATTGCTCTATAAGCTTGTTTGGTACTCATATGAAATTTTTCTTTGGTGCACACTTTCTTTCGAAATTTCTTCATTTTCCAATTGCTGTGGAACTGTATCTCTTTGGCCCATCTTTTTGCAACTTTGGTTGAAGTAACCATCTTGTTATGGTAATTCCAACCACACCCTTCATGTTCTTGTGAAAATCTCAATATCCTCCATGATAAAGAATGCTGCACTTTCCTTAGATTTATCATCCAAGGACATTCATCTTTCTTGCACTTCACAAAAAATCTAAGAGAATCATTTTTCACAAATTTCAAGTCATTCCCATTTAGAAATGCATACTTATGCAACGCTTCTCGAAATTCTTTCTTACTTGAAAATGTCATACCTCAGAAAATGTTGGATTTTCCATTTCTGTGCTAGGTCTAAAAACAGGCCACCTAACTTTTGAACTTTTGGCATCACTTTCTGAATCTTCTAAAGAATCATCATCAGATAAGTTGGGGTCAGACCAACCTTTTTCTGCAGAAGATCCAAGAACTAGTTGCTGATCATCACTCATCAAACCAGCATATTCAACACTAAACTCCACATTCTGATCAAACTCAATATTGTCCCGATTACTTTCCTCAATATCACTGTCTAAGAGTTCATCTAGGCTAGAATGAGAATAGTTACAATCACTATGTTCATCATCTCCATAATCTGAGTCTACAAGTGTAAGGATATATTTATAAGAATTTTACAAACAAATAAAATTAGGTTTTTTGTTCGAATACATACCACTTCTTTGAATGATGCCCATGTCTCTTAAAGGAGAAGAGTAAGCCATTTTTGTTGTTGTAGTTTTGTTTCAAAGCTTAGCTTCACATGTTCTTTCCTTCTTCTAGGGCAAAAGATACGTAAGTTTCAAGTTGCATGAGTGTTTTCTTCTTCTGGAGCAAACGATGGGTAAGGATTCAATTTTGAGGTACGCGGGGTTTAACCTTAGGCTTGTTATTGTTTAAAGACAAAAGTGCCCTCTCAAAATAAATTTCTAAGGTGAGCTCGACAAAATATATAGCTTCACCGATGGCTTTGGCCGGATAAATGACCGGAGGACTATAAGTGTCCAAAATAGAATAGTCCTGCACCAAATATGAGACTTTTAAAAGAATAGGATCAAGAGTGAGACCTAGTATATAATCATAGGACCAAAAGTGGCAAAATTTCCATAATAGACATTTGAAAGTTATCTCTATATATATAAAACGAAGTGGAAAAGTTGGTGAATCTCCCGCCCATAAACGTCACAGTCAAGGACTTAGAGGTAAAAGAGTATTGCGCCGGAAGCTAACAAAACCTAGGTCTGCTAAAAAATTATTATACGGAGTATGTATTACGATGGCTGTCAGACTGTCAGAGTGTAGATCATTCAAATTGAACACTTTTATTGACTCTTGGTCAAAGCCTCAGTGTAGTCCGATTTCTTCCACAATCGGCAGAGCATTAATCCAGCCCACAGGACCGGACAACGGAGAAGAACTTCAGCTGCGCTTCTGGATTCTAGGCGGCGATTTGGCGTGAATGAGGCAAAACATCAAGCGATCAACCGGTAGAAGTGTCGCATCCACTGCAGCCGCATCATGTAGGGCCACACACCCCGGTCAACCTTTGACCGAACAAGACGGTGGCGACCAAGCAAGCTGAGGAGTCCGGCGAGATGAGTGGAGGACTGGAGGCCTCTGTCTCTAGGCTCTGGCTCTGCAACTTGCGCACTTCAAGAAGAAGAAGATGGATATGATTTCTTCAGGTTTGGGGCTTGAAGCAAATGCCAATTCCTGCCAGGCCCTAAAGCAAATGCCAATATGGTATTTAACTTATCGCCAAATAGCATTGGGATCTCTGGTGTTGCTGCGGAAGAGAAAACCCTAAGCACCGATTCCTATTATATATACATGTGCTAGGATTGTAGCAACAATTTCATCCATAACAAGCAATTTGACGCAGGGGATGGGTTAATAACCTCATAGGTCATTGGCTTTGAATTATTCACCTTGCAGTCCATTGCTTTTGTCTGTTATCTGTTGCTTGCCAGAGGCCTTGCATCTAAATGAAGATCTTTAAGGTAATATTGTCCTACCAATCGAAATCTGTGATTGTGCCACCTTCTTCTCTCATTATTTGTAGAATATGTTTGCTAGATGATTTAAATTATTCACCTTGAAACAAAATATATATAGTTGTGTATACAATTATTCCTGAAACAGAATTTGATTGACTACAAGTATATAAATATAGTAGCAACCAAAGTCCTACAGAGTTGTTCATTTGGAAAAATCAACTCAATAGTGTTAACTTAGATATCAGATATTGGAAAGTGGATAATGAAGTATGGAGTGTTATGGTTGTTAGAGACTATCAAAAGTCTATGGTGGCAGCAGGTTGGAATCTTAGCAGTGATGCACATTTGTTAACAAATGAAGTAATGCTTCTCATTGAGGTTCTTGAGATGTGTTATACTATGTGAAACAGGCTTGAAGTTGATTCTAAAGAACTGTATGGACTGGTAACTAATGGTATACTGGACTGGAGGGAAACAGGGTTGCTTGAGGGGGGAGTACAATTTGTATTAATTCCAAAAATGTACAAACGCAAAGGAAAAGGCATTAACCTAGGTGGCAACCTAGGTATGCAAAAGTGGCAACCTAGGTGGAAAACATGTCTCTACACCATGCTAGCTGGATCATTGAGGTCACAAGTGAAGTTAGGGGAAGTGGTGAACATTGCCAATCGACAGAGAAATGTTTTCATGTATTGTTCGTTCCTCTGTTACTCTGTATTAATTTTGTCTTTGTCTTTGGGGTAAGGTTTTAATGTCCCCCCTTTACTTCGAATACTCTTCAACAATAATAATTAAGATTTGGCAAGAGATGCTTAGTTCTTACACCACTTACATGTTTAGCTTCTAAAAAGGAGAAAATTGGTCATTTTCCTGCTAAAAAACACGGGTCAAACAGGTTTGATAGGATTTATAACTATTAAGTCACAATCACTTAATGCTTCAAATTATATAGAAATTGAAATATCATGCCCACCAGTACTCGGTACTTGAAATATAGAGAGGCTTTCTTCTACTCAATATTTAATGCATTGATTTAAAGGAAAGAAAAATTCATGTACCAAATTTGGTAGAGTCACATCAACAAAAGTGAATCAAAGATAAAAGATATCAACACTATTTATTGGTGGACAATGGACATTAAACACTTCAATTGTTCAGCCCAATGCATTTCCCCTTTTTAAAATGCACAAGCATTTGTAATACGTTCTTATCTCCCTTCATTATAAAAAGATTTTCCATATTTGATAAAGTATTTTATTTATATATAAAATCATTTAAAATAAAAAAAATTGTATTAAATGTTCTCTATTACAAACACTCTCATGGGGGGGGGGGGATTCAAAAAAAACTAACAAACACTCTCACAAGGGGGATTCAAAACAACAAACAAACAAACAAACACTCTCATAAAAGTATAAAATATATGAATCATATATAAATACAATAGCTTAAATTATTGTCTAAACTTTATCGTTGTTTACCCAGAATAGTTAATATGGCAATTTTTTTTTAGATGGAGCCATGGAGGTATTATAACTTTTTTTACAACAAAGAACTTTCTGTAATATTCATAAAAGGAGCGCAAAAACTTTTTATGGAATGATGGAAAGATGTACTCCCTCCGTCCCAAATTATAAGATACTTTTTGGTTTACGATGTTTGATCGACGATAAAGCAAACAGATCTCTGTCTGCGCTCAAATTTTTTTTATGAAAAAAAAGTTACATATTCAGAAACTACATTAAAACCACTACAAAACCTGCAAAAAATAATTTAAATTTCATAAAATTTTGATATGTAAAGTAAGAGATTAAGAGTGATTTGTGTTGACCGAGTGAATAGTAATGTATAAAATGGGACAGAAAGAGTAGTAAAATACATACTATCCTCCGTATCGTATTAATTGCAACATAGTAATGTATAACCTTCTATATGTCCTGTCGGGTCGGAGCGTGGAGGACCTTTGGAGTTGGGGACTCATTTGAAGGGACGGTTACTCTTTTTTAAGGTGCATATGTGTTCAATAATATATTACTTTTCAGATATAATTTACCACACAATAAATAAGTATTTTGTTCCAAAAAGTAAATAATAATTTGATAAGTTTTATTCCGTGCATCGCACGGGTGAATTCTAGTTTGCAAACAAAAACAGACATTTGAAAGTTACCAGTATTCCCGGGGTAAACCCAAAAACATAAGCTATCCGTCATTCCGTCCCAATCCATCCAATGTATAGCCCAAGTCTTCTTCCTCCGCTTAACACAGTAGAAAACTAGAGATGGATTGAAGGGAAAAGATGGCAGGCAAGACATTTAATTTAATTAATTAGATTTCTTTGTTTTCTTTTGTACTTCTAGGTTTTCTCCTAATCAATAATGAGCGCAGGAGGCAAATCAGGCAATGGGGAAGAAGTTGCGGTTTTGTTGTTTTGGGGAGGGGAAATCATAAAGAAGGGATATCTCGGCTCCGTCGATTACTCAGATCCGCCAAAAACGATGTGTTTCTTGAGCCGCCACAGTGATCATGGGGATCTCGTGGAGGAAGTGCATTCGGCAATGAACACCGATGAAGAGGAAACGACTTTGGATCTGTTCGGGAAGTATCCGACAAAGATAGACGGAGAGAAATTCGTGTTCGTCTCTATTCCGCTTACCGATGATCGATCGTGGAGGTGGTTTTTGAAGTCGATGGATCTCTCCCAGCCCATTCATGTGTATGCCATCGCCACCGGAAAGAGCAGAGCACCAGATACTGAGCGGCGCAACCCCAGAGCGCGTGATTCAAGGAGCGTGCGGGGGAAGAGAAGCGGAGGCGCGTGCTCGTCCTCGTCGCCGATGTGGATCTTTGTTAAGTTCCTGTCGGGGAAGACCGTTCCCTACGAGGTCGAATCATCGGACACTATTGCTGAATTGAAGGAACAAATAGCGGATACGGAAGGCTTTTCGCCCGACCAGCAGCGTCTCATCTTCGCGGGAAGGCAACTGGAGGACTATAAGACGCTTGCGGAGTACAACATCCAGCCGAATTCCTATATCCATTTCGTCCAAAGGTTATGCGGTTGTTAGTTGATGTGAATGTGTCTACCTTCTCTCGCACCAGCCATTGAACCTTTCCTTTAGCTATCTCAGATGTGGAGCATTTAGTTCAGTTTTGTTTTTGGTTCATCGTTTTGAATCGTTGCGTGGATAATTTGATGATCTATAATTCATCAATCATCATTACAATGACGAATGTATCAGTTTAATTGGCACGCGCTTATGTTTATAATCATTGCTTATTATGCTGGTATACTAATGGCCTAAATTGAGTAAATTCGTATAAGAAGTTTTGAACTGTGAACTGTTAATCCCTTCTCAGCAATGTGGGGCAAAAGAAGCAAAATCTAGACTTATATGAAGCATATCAAGAATCACATTAGCTTATAGCTTCAAACTAATATTCTCCATAAAGGAGTATGTATGTCCTCTCATGTGAATCACATGGATTAAGGGAAAAGCACAAGAGAAGAATGTCCATGTTTTATTTATACAAACTCAGAAATCCATCAAAAACATATCACCGGCCAAAGTTATTAATAATTGAGTAGTATTAGTTTAAGAAAAAACATGCCAGATTCAATTTTACCTAATGAAGGAACCCAACTTTTCTTCTGTGATGGAAGAATGCCAGGACCCTGTAATCCCGTTGGACCTTTATCTCCTTTGAGAAGGGTAGAATACAGTCATGGTGAAAAGGCTTAGACTTGGAAGTCACTCACAGAAGCATCCATGTGAAGGTAGACTTTATTTAAGTTGAAGATTTTACAAACTTCCACTAAATTTAGCAAATTTTAAAAATGCTTGAACACCTCCACATGGCCGTCCATCTCGTAGAGGTAAAGTACTGAAGAAAAAGAAATTGAATTCATTTGGGAAGCAGATCTATTTGAATCATGTAAATAAAATGCGGTAAAACATATTTTTAGTCAAAAGTCAATACAGGAAATTCTTAAATAAAAAAGTTATACCTCATTGAAGCTGAAGAGATGAAATTCTTGATTGGATTTTCAAGCTTCCAAAAAAGGAAAAGATGCCAGAAGTACCTTTTATTGTGAGGGCAACCTCTTGCGAGTTGCGATTGAGTTTTTCACGTAGAAAATCCCATTCAAATGCAATTCCAGGGTGAAGTGGTCCGGGCTAGGAGATAGTAGTAGTGGTACTAAAGAAGTTTCGACCAGTGACGGCGAGGGGAGGGAACCGGTGTGTCGTTCGGAAGCTTTGAATGTGTGAACTCGAGTGGGAGGGGAGGGAACCGGTGTGTCGTTCGGAAGCTTTGAATGTGTGAACTCGAGTGGGAGGTGATATTCGATCGGGGATGGGAGCTAAATGTCTGAACTGGTGCCGGAGCAAACGGGAAATCCTGCTGGAGGTGAAATTAAGTAATTAGCCCAGTCATAAGTCATGAATGAGCGGGATATGTTGTGCTTTTAAGTATATAATAATAATAATACCTTAGTATATGAAGATGATCTATATCATCATTACAATGAATGTATTAGTTTAATTAGCACGCACTTACGTTTATTATCATTCGTTATTACGCCTTTATAATGAGCTAAATTGAGTAAATTCGTATAATGAGCGGGATATGTATGTGGTTTTTCCCCCTCTCTTACTCAACCAAAAAAAATGATTAAAGGTCTAATCAAAGAGAATAAATTATTTTCTAAAATGGAATTATAACCTTTAAATGGAAGACCCAAATAAGAAAAATGGGAACCTTTCAACGGGACGTAGGGAGGTGTAGTTGTTACATATTAATACTAGCCACATTATCATATCTACTCCGGCCGTTGCACAAAATTCGATTAACGAGCTTTTTTTATATCTATCGTTTCTTGTTGAGTATGAAAAAGTACAGTTTGACATTCTCCAATGGTGGAAGGACAAACAAGGAATGTTAGGAATGTTATCAATTTTATCGAAAACGGCAATAGTTTCAACGATTCCCGTGAAACAAGAGTTTAGCGAAATCGACAACATCTTGACAGATTACAGAACGTGGTTGAGTGCGCAATCTCTTGAGACACTCATTTTCTTCCATGATTGGTTGAAGGCCCATCATCATAGAACTGAAGAAGTTAACATAGCACTCGACCACCACTTCATGAAGGAAACGACAACTGACGCTGCCATGAGTTTCGACGATTAGGAAATGTGTTTAAAATATTCTCAATTCTAATTTATAAATGACTAATACATCAACTTAATGTTTCAAGAAAATCTAAGTTTCATTTTTAATGTGTAGCATTTGTTGTTTATATTACTGAAATTTCTATAAAGAAAATCAAAACCTCCCAAACCGGTCCGAGACCGGACACGAGACCAGCCGGGTACCCGGGCAGGACTAGGACCCGTAAAAATGTAAAATCCAGGTCTTTTAAGGGTTTCACCATCCACAGATCGGGATCGGATGCACACCTACTTGTGTGCTCTACGTACGTATAAACTTTTATAATATACAAAAAAAAATGTTTGCAAATGAAATTAGATAGATAATGTTGGAGTCCTCAATACCAAAATAAAATAACTTATTAAGTCCCCAAAACGAAAAAGTAAACAAAGTTTGGTCACTACATGAATTTATGTTTGCGGTGTAATTGTACTTTTGATTCATTTGCTACATACCCAAATTTTAGATATTGCTAATTACGGATTACCTAAGCATTACTTGGGCAAAATTAATATCGGTCAACTAGACGTCTAGAAGTAATAAAATTCACTACAATTATGTCAAAGTTTACATCACAATAATTACTGATAAAAATGTGATGGACAAAAATGTGACTTAATAATTATTATTGACTACAATTTTGTCAAATTTTGCATCACAATAATTTACATTTACTTACTGCAATATAAAATTTGAATACAATTGTAGTCACTAATAGTTACTAAGTAATATTTTTGTCTATCACATTTTAAAGAACAATATTTACGAAATTTTTTCTAGTAATATACGTTGTATATATCAGCGCCTTGTTTTCAGCAAAAATGGCTTCTAAAATGTAAAAACCCCTTAAAGCAATACTGATAGAATGTTCTGAAACTCCTCAATTTTTACATGCTCTAATAGATTTGTCATTATTTTTAAAAGCATACATTGTAGGGTGATGGGGACTCGTCCCTAGGCCAGCACAGTCCATCATCCGGAAGCTTAGACCTGCTGGAGCAAAGATCATAGCAGATGGTCTATCAATCAGTAGGAGTTAGGCCATTCACGAAAAGCAACGATTGAATACGTCGAACAGAAACAGATAAACTTGCTGGAGGCTGGAGCCAATGACCTGATGCTAACTGCAAAAAGCTTTATTTGAAAGAAATGCATTGTTCTTCTTTGAGCTCTCAGCCAAAAACATCTAAAGAGACAACAAAGAGTACTCGGAAAACCAATATGAAATCTAGAGCGGCTACCAATAGAAACACATCCAACCTAAAGTGAAGTCCGGTACTTGACAACATCCATCAAGTTCAAATTATATCTTTGGCATATTGCAGATAGTGTGCTTTCACTTAGACCGTCTGTTGTATTACTTAGGTTAACAAGTTTCTGGAGTTCCTCTGACGGGATCAAAACCTGTTCATATCACAAATAGAGTTCGTTAAGGACTTTCCTACCCTCAATGATGAAAAATCATATACTTCTACAAAAAATAATTAAGAGCACATTTGGCGTGACCTATTTTCAAACAACACATGCTTTTATAGGAAAAGTTTTTTTAAGGGGGTTGTCAAGGTGATGAAAGAAGTGCTTTTAATTCTTTGGGGAAATAATTTTCTTCTGCTTATTTAAGAAAGCATTAGAATGGAGCTTTTTCAAAAGAAAAATAAAGTCCTTTAGTGCTAAAATGAGAAAGCACTTCTTATGAAACGACTTGTAGCCACAAGTCATCCTAAACAAGCTCTAGAGCACCGCTAGAAAGCAATAGTAAGGGCACTAGAAAGCAATACGTAAGGACACTGAGAGCTTAAGAAGCATGTCTCGGTGTTGGTACATCATACTCCGTCTGTGATCCGTCCAAAAAAGGATTAATGTTCCAAAACATATTTTTCCCAACAAAGGTCACATTTCAACAAAAGAGGCAATGTTCCAAGCAAAATATGCTAACTTTAGTTTCTCTCTCAAATAAATACAAACACTGTAAGTAGGAGGATAAAGTAACAAAAATGAAACACGAGCTGATGATATAACATAACCAAAAATGAAAAAGTTGTACCTTGATGAAATAAAACTCTTTTTTGGGATGAATGGTGCACCTTTTATATATATTGTCCAACATGAAAACTTTGAATGAAATTCTATGGACAATTTCATATTTGGAAGAATTTATTTTGATTCTTTTACATGATAAGATTGATTATCATCCACTTAGCAAGATTACTAAAGTGGTGTTTCAGTTGTTAAGTTTGCCACTATAGTTTAACTTATTTTGTTGACGGCTTCATTTGGTTTGTTTTTTAACCTTTTCAAAATGACATCAAGAGTGATTGAACTTTAATGTGTTCAGCTTTGGTAGTGATATTCCTTACCCAAGATTTAATTTACTTTACCTATGTTATTCTCACACCATTGTCCTTGATACTTCCTACTAAAATGTTACATTGGGTTACCTAAAGGGAAAAAGTATATAATTGCATGCCAATAATAAGATTATGCCACTTTATACCGTCATAATTAACTGCAAGCAAACTCATATTGTTGCACTTGAAGTACTGAAAAGATAATTAGTGAAGTATGAGAATATATATAAAATAGATCTTAAGTCAGATGCAAGATTAGAGGAGTGGTAAAATTCAGGGAGTTCAGGCCTGCATTTAGATTTAAAGCTATATGCAGATTCAATAGAAATTCATACCCATGAAGAGCTTAGGGCATTGCAGTTTTCATTTGAATCAGCTTTCTTACTTCTTGTCTCAAGCGCTGTGTTTTCATTGGAATGTTGTTTGCCAGGATAATCTGTAACTAGATGGAGAAGATTTTCACTTCCCTGAAAAAACAACCAAACCACTTCTATCAGAAAGGGAAATTACAACAGGTCTAAATATTAAGTTTCAGTAGTAACTTCTGGATAGAACAATGCTTTTGACAATAAGGCTAATAGGCTACAATTATATGCTTTTACCAGGATATTTCATTACATTAAGACCTTTCTAACTAGGGGTTGACATTTCGATTTAAGACTTTAAGTTAACCAAACCGAATTAATCCGAACCATATGACCTTTAGTTTGGTGATGCTTTTCCCGAACTGTAGTAATCTGAATGAAAACCAATTAAAAACAAAAAAAAAACACTACAAAATCTTAGTAGTTAAAAACAAACAAACAGACTGATCGAGACCAAACCAAACTAAGCCCAAAGTGGCCATTCCTATTCCTAAGTCCTAACACATCAAGTTCAGTAGGTTTCTCTTGTCACTATTGTTAATTGAATGTGCTCACCTTCAAAGCTCTCCAGTGAGAGTATGTGCGGTACAAGATCCAAAAGAAAGGAATGTTAGGCAAGGGTAGCACCTACAATAAATGAAAATGCAGAAAACTGTTGATGTGCCTAAACATTAAATTGGCAATGTTAGAATGATAACATGACCTAAATAAAAGAAAAGAATTGCCAGAATTTCCAAACATGTAATTACAGCAATACCATGAAGACTGATGTCAATGGAAGCAAAACAGTTGATCCATACAAGTACTTCTTGTGAATAACCGCTCCCCTAACAGTTCAGTTATAAAAAAAGTTTTTTTTAAAAAGCACTAATGAATACTTAGCAATCATCATGGGATTATGATTCATCAAAATAGTACGGATAAGAAGACAAGTAAGTCATTTCACATTACCTGAAGGCAATATGTCTTAGCCTTCGACGAACTAGTCGGCCATTTAAACTGTAGATTATAAAGCAAACGCAGTATGTGTATTTAGCATAAGCCATATCAATGACAACGAGATATACTGATAATCTAAATGTTACACTTTCGTACTTGGCAGTTTGAAGTTCAATTGTTCACGCTAAGTTCAGCGGAAATTTCCTATCATTACAAGTTACAATGCAACTTCAAAACATGGAATTATTTTGGACAACATTGAACTCTATCATGTTCCAAATCTAGTCTTAAAGGTAAAAATACCTCCTCCATTTCAGCATGTGCATCTATTCAAGTAAAACTAACTAAGCCAAGGAAATGTTGGAGGAACATATTTTTGTAAGCAAAACTGCTAGTCTACTAAACACATGCACACACTGTCTAGTGTCTATCACTGCCTAAAAACCCAAAACAAAGAAAATCAAACTGAACATAACCATTAAGGGCTCGTTTAGTGATCAGTTTTTTAGGGTTATGAGTCTTATCAACCGATATTTTCACAAAACACATAAGTTTTGATTTCGCGCGTTGGATTGTATAATAATCAAAATAAGTAAGGTTGGAGTTACTTTTCGGGCTGAATTGGACAATTTTAGCTATCTTTCCATATAATTTTATCTTTATTTTCTTAATAAAGCATACTTTAAATACTAGTATAATTTTTTCATAATTAAGCAGATTCACCCGCTTTAATCATAATTTCATCAATTACAGCTAACCTTAGCATTACCAAACGGGCTGTAAGCCTCTAAGTCCCTCCTTTTCATATAAGCTTCTCTTTTTCTTTTTTCATCCATCTCAAGATTATCATCCCAGAATTATGTGAGGTTCTCCTTGTTTTCTAAATAAATCTCAACCACACAATACTACTTTCTTAATACTCATGTCTAAAGCAAATGTTGGGTCTGGATAGATTAAAAACACATAGCTTAAAAGGAACTGTACCTAGATGGATACGTTATTTCCACTTTATCGACCTCCTTCGAAATGGACTTTAAGAAGATCTCAGAAGGTTTAACAGTAGACAAAAGCCGCAACCCTAACCTAATGACAGGAACTGTGAATTCATCAACAGTAGCAATTACAGGATCAAGCATACCAAACAAAAGCAAATCAGAACTCAATTTCACCCGTGAATTTTGCTCTTAAAACTTCCAGCAGGTGCCTTTTCCAAATTGCTCCACTGGTTGCTCATCTGAGAACAAACACTAAGCGCATTAGCACGCATAACTCGTACAAGTATATAACCATCAAATGTACATCAAAACAACAATGATGAGCTCAAGTATAGGATACGAACCTTATTCGTGGCGAAATCGATTAGAAGTTCAAGCTTAGACCCGGAAGGCTTGTCCGTGGGCTTGGAGATCCTGTTCCAGAGCTCATTGAGAGTCGACGGCGTGTTGGCCTCTTGCGCTTTGCATGCGGACTGGTCAACTGAGCGGCTGAAGCACCAATTCCTGCCTCTGATCGGAAACACTAACAACCGACCTCTCACCATTGATCCTAACCGTTTTACCGTACGCTTTTTCAGTGGCGAGCCATCGCGTCGCGTGTCATCTGTGGATAAGCTGTGAAAATCACAAGGAGTAGGGTGGCATATAGGTTTTGAGTTCGATTTGGATTTTGGATGGAAAGAATTAGTACCAAATAAAAATCATACTATTTGATTCCATTTGGATTTGTTGTTTTTTATAATTGAAAGTTTTATAATTTATTTATTTTAGATCATTTTTGCTTATTTTTTGTCGGTTTAAGTTCAGTTCACTTTAATACCATTTCGAGAAAATATTATCAAACTCAAACCAAATTGTATATGGTCCGATTTTGATTCAGTTTAGTTTGATTCGGTAGATTGGTTCGTTTAAACAAAATCAATATATACACCCCTAATCTAGAGTGTGAGTTAAAATATTTCGTTTTAGGCCCAAATATTTGTTCTTTTAGGCGTCATCTCTTTTAAAAGAAAATTATATATTTATAATTAAGACAAAGATTATTTATAAAAAAAAAGAGTAAAAATAGTAATAATTTAAATGAAAATTGTCTCAAATAGGAGTAAAAACAATTTGAAAATAGAACTTTCATGTTTTTATTTCTGAAATATGATTAATTACTGTCATGTTTTCACAATATTTTAGTTCAATTTTTGTAGTAACTTAGGTTCAATTTTTAAACTTAAGTGATCATAATACTATATTGTTGAAATTGTTATTGATATCTGTGTAAATAAATTTTAGTTTATAGTTTTAATAGAATCAAATACTCCGTAAATTTTATATTGAGAATAAAATATAATTACTTGTTTTTATGTACTTTATGCATATTTTACTCTAATTTGCAACAATTTCTAACTTGACTACTTGTATATATATTGTGTTTCATACATGTTCGCAAAATTTGTGTAATCAATTTTTTTGAATCTTACACATAAAAATAAACACAACTTTTAACATAAAAATTCACCTATAGCAATGTATCATATGTCGACTTGCTTGTGTACCATTTAATTAATGTCTTTATGTTGATTGGTCATGTTTAAAAGTTTACTCGACATGTATTTGAACCGTATGATTCGTTGTTTATAATTATAGTGCGTTTTCGGTTAGTTTCGATTTTTTGTGATTCAATTGCTTATGAGACCATTCATTCATTCAAAACACTCTTTTTGCTGTTGAAAATAAATGTGAAATTAAGAATTGCATATTTGATCAAAATAAGGGGTGTTCTGATTATGTTTTGCTTTTTTTTAAATTAGAAGCAGAATCAGGATCAGTTTTCATAAGTTGGTTTCCTTCAGTTTCTAAAAAACTGATTATAGGAGTAAATAAGAGCACTAGAATCACTTCTACGCTTTCATTCAAACACTCCAATTTCTGCTTCAAGGAGCAGAAGCAGTTTTAAGAATCAAATTCAAACACCTCTAAGTAATGGCGATAAGTCAAGTCAGGGATTGTTTGGATCCGATTATTAAAATTGTTTTTACTTCTTCAGGGAGCAGAAACAGAAATTGGAGTGTTTGGAAGTGTAAAGTACTTCGTTTTAATTTACTGCCTTAATAAATTTATTAATTTTAAAAAATTAATAAATTTTAATTTTTTTTAAAAATTTGTTCAGAATCAAAAGCAGAATTCACAAGGTTAGTTGAGTAAAATTCACAATTCTTAGCCGTAAAGAATTACCATAATAGTTGCTCCGTTATCTATCCATTCCAGAAATTAAGAAAACAGGGGACCAGGTTACCTTGTCTATTAGTATCTGTAGAAAGAAACGAAGATACAATCTTTGGCAAGAGCGCAGTAAAGTGTTTCCTCTCAGCTAGCCGCAACCCCCGTTTCGCCGAATTCATAAGGTTAATTCCCTTGACAATCACTGTTCTTTTGTTTGAATCTCCCTCTTCTTCTTCAACCTTACTGTTCGCCAAGCGTCTAGTTAGGCAAACATCAATTTGAACACAACAAAATTTGGTCTCTCCCGAGGCATAGTCGGTCAAATGTTTTGTTTTTATGCACCTTCCTTTGTTTAACTAACTTCAAACTTCCATCTCTATCATGACAAGTCCGGTCAAACCCTTGGAGTTTGGTCGCCACCCATAGAGCCGCCGCCGTATGACGAGGAGGAGGTGGAGGAGCCTTTTGGTGACTCTCTTCCCATAATCCCATCTTTGCGTATGTATAACACCCATCCTTTTTTCTTATGTTGTCTCTTTCAAACTCTCCACTATTCTTGCCTTCTTATTTATTAGTTTCCAAGTTTCATATTCCCTCTTCATATATACCCTAACGCTTTAGCCTTTAGCCAAACCTTCCCTGTACCAAAATCTTTTACTTTTTCTGTTATAAGCTTTTGCTTGTTTAAAGATATTCCCAGATCTTGGAGGAGGCCGGTTATATTTTCTTGGTTTTCATTTTGTAATAAAACCCTCCAAATTCAAGAATTTGATGATCGGAAGGAAAACCTAACCTGGGTTTTCAATCTCATCAGTTGAAAAGGTCAAACATTTCAGCTTTTTCGAATTTGGATTAAAAAAATGGGTGATGATTCAAACGTCGGTGGTAAGCTAGATGAACCAAGTCAGGTCGAGCTGACAGGGAAGATAATGGTAGCGGCAATCATTTGTCTGTTCTTAGTGGTCATATTCGTCTTCCTCCTCCACCTTTATGCCAAATGGTTCTGGTACCGCCGCCCAGACAGCACGGGTGTTACCACTCGCAGAAGGCGGCGCTTTGAATTCGCCTCGGGTTATCAAGGAGTCACAGCAGCTGCCGCACTTCGCAGGGGTCTCGACCCCTCTGCACTGAAAACTATACCAGTGGTTGAATTTAGTCCTAAAGACTTCAAAGATGGATTAGAATGTGCAGTTTGTCTGTGTGAAGTTTCTGAAGGTGAAAAGGCAAGGCTTTTGCCCAAATGCAACCATGGTTTTCATGTTGACTGTATTGATATGTGGTTTCAATCTCATTCCACCTGCCCGTTATGCAGAAACCCAATTCCCAATCCTCCTCCTGCAGAAACAGCATCAGTTGAGGGCTTGGTTCCTGGTGAGACACCTAATTTCCCCACTAATGTGTTGTTTTGGGGAGATGAGACTCAAGTTAGTACTCTAGGGACTGGTTTGGATGAACTACCCCAACAAGGCTCTCAACAAGGCTCTATTTCTTCTGCTCCATCATCATCTTGTCCCTCATCTTCAACATCATCATCAGTGATGGGAAGTATTTTGGTTATTGACATCCCAAGGCATGCTGTTGAGGATGATCAGGAACAGAAATCTCCTATGCCTACAAGGTTGAGGTCATTGAAGAGGCTTCTAAGCAGGGAAAAACGGGTTAGTCCTCGCACCAATGTAGACATAGAACAAGGAGGGAGAAGCCAAAGTTGAAAGTGTCTCATTTAGGAATATGTCTTGTCTGGTTTTCTTTACTATGCCCATCTGTTCTTTGTTTCTTGGTTCTGCTTGCAGATTTTAAAAGTAGAACTTTGATTAGTGCTGCCTGTATATAATAGTTGGCTTCTCTAGTGAGAGTGGATGTAACGCATCTCATATAGAAGAGTTTTCTTTCGTTAAATAGATAACACTTCACACTTATACTACGTATTAATGTTAATGTGAAATATCACTAAGTTCTTCAAGCATTGTGGCGTACCGCATACAGGTTTTCTTGATTTCATGATTCTCGTGTCTTTTGCAATAGCTTTGGTGGTGTAAGATGCTTGCATTGTAGTTCCCTTATTGTAGTTTTCGATTTTTTTCTACTAATCTGTATTATCGACAAGTTTTTTCGTCAAATCCGAACTTAGCTTACTATGATGGCTATCACTAAGCCTGATATTTGTATTGCATGAGTTCCTTTCTGGGTGAAATGACTAAAATTGAGGAAATTGACAATTCAATTTTCATTTTAGATAGTTATTAATTCATATATTTGAAAACATATTTTAATTTATTTTCATTTCAACCACTGTTTCAGTATTAGCAACACCAAGGATTTGCCTGTTTTCAAGTCTTACCAACTGGGCTCTACAGTTTGTCTCGAGTCAAACGGTAGTGTAACATTAGAATATTTTCTACAAATAATTAAATAAAAGTCAAGGCGTTCAACATTTTTTCAAATAGAATCACTTTTGAATTCCCCCTAAAAGTAGTATCATTAGGAAAACCCACCCCTCTATAAGTAGAATTATTAATTACTACGTAGTACGTACTTTATTCCTTTTTAGGACTCGATGAGATCCATGTTTTAAATAAGGTAATGATCTTTTACTTGAGGTGTTTCATGCTTTACTCATCTTTATTCTCATTGCTTATACCTTTAGCAATATTTGTAATTGAGAACATCCCCCATGGCCTTCATTTTCAATTTCTTTGTGAATTCCGAAACTCAAGATTCCTCCGGCTTAGGGGTGGACTCGGGTCGGGCGGCCCGCCCCGGAACCGGCCCAGCCCGGTCACTGTTTGAACTTGCCCAGCCCGGTCACTGTTTGAACCGGCCCGAACCGCCGGCCCGGCCAGGGACCGGTCCGGGTAGGCTCGACCCGCTGGGGTTCTGGGCCGGGCTCGGGCCCCTGAAAAGGTGAACCGGCCTGGCCGGTTCGGGCCCGGTCCGGGTCAATTTGTTTTTCTTTTTTTTTTTGAATTTTTTTTAAGTTTTTGGGTTAGGCTGGGTATTTTGGGCCATTTGAGGTGGTTTGGGGGTGAGGGAGGAGGGTTGGGGGTTAATTAGGAAAAGCCAAAAAAAAATTAAGTTGAACCGAGGCCTGGCCCGGCCTGGCCCGAACCGGACCCGGGGGTTACCCGGGCCGGTTCCGGGCCTCCCCTTTCATGAACCAAGGCCCGGCCGGGCTCAGGCCCGAACCGGCCCGAGTCCACCCCTGCTCCGGCTTAACTTCCATCAGTGATTGATCTGGGCAATCAAGGAAGAAACACACCGAGCGAGGCGAGCATTGCCATAACGCGTGAGAAACCCACACTTGGGTGTTTAACTAGTACAAGTACTACTGTACTAGACATGTAAATTGGGTTTTTGTTGTTCTCTTAGATAGACTGCTCTGAAAGGCATTCACAGGAGGAAGATCCAGTTCATACTTCATAGTTCATAAAAGGACATATTTCGTAACATCACTAATGCACAAACTCATTTATTTCTATAACAATAGCATGTCCTTTTCTTTTTTTTTGAGAAATAATGAACGGATTTCACATTTTAAGTTTTGTCAAAATCTTGAACATGAGCAGAATCCTGTCCTAGTAAATATGAAGTTGACGTTTCAAAAGTAAAATTTAAGGTTCACTATTTTAGATGTATTTAGCATGTCAATTGAAAAAGTATTCCTCATACAAAGTTTGCTAAAAAAACTTCAGACCGTATATGGATAATGTTTGACCATTTTCATTTTAATATCAGTCTAATTAAATGCATGGTTCCCTAACCACGTAAGTTATGAGATATACACATATAGGATATATGCTGTGATTGCTGTCCATGGAGACTTGATTATAATCAATAAATGGACCATAAATTTGGCATCAAGTCAATGTGACTAGTTGGCAATTGCGTGACTCAAGCAAAATTGTTCCGTTTTCTTGATTGTTTGATTACATATGCTTCGATATACAAATGATTCAAGATAAGATGAAGGAAGCAAAAGGACCACACACCACTCATTTTCTCTAGTATTGTGTCACTCCTGCCGGTGGGCGTAACTCAATCCTAACAATTACGATGAGAGGTTTGTTGGCTCTATTCTTCCAAAATCAACGTGTTGACTGTGTTGCTTCTAAATTGACCTCGTTGACTATCTAGCTCCGATAATTGACCTGCAAAATAATCACTAAAAAGAACTAAAAGTATATTAGTGGCTCGAGACGCGTTAGACGCTGTCCTAAGGAATTATTTCCGGCATATGGAAATTTCCCCCAAGATATAACGAGCCCTTCGGTTATCAAACCGGTACCAGAACTAACGAGAAGAAAATAGTATATGAACCCAGTAATAGAGGTGATGGTTAATTGTTGTATACTTGTATACGCACTTCACCGTAAATATTTTTTCATCTATAGAAAATTAAGGCATATATGAAGGTGGTACGTAGCCTTCTCTCTTTGTAATCCCACAACACCCATAACCCATTTTCCCTTTTCAATAAGCAGAATGAGTGCAAAGTCTCCAGCAAGCATATATGTCTATTCTGCCAAGTATATATATGTCCAAATACACAATGAACCGAACGTAGGTTACTAAAGGGTCACCATATAAACTTTAATGAAATTAAAGTATGAATTATGTAGTATTAAAGGCATTTAAGGAATAATGAATAATGATATAAAACGTTTTTGTATTAACTCCTAATGATGCCCAACGTTAGAAAAAGTTTAGCCAAATTCATATATTAAGTTAATTGTTTAACGTTTAGTAATGGCTTCACAAATGGTAGGGTAAAATGGTTTTTAAAGTCGTGATAAAATTTCCCAGAAAAATAATTGAAAAACTTATTCATTTGAAATACCCCAAAATTTCCAACAAGGTTACCATTTAAAAATGCATATGACCTCTGTAAATATTTGAGTCAGAGTCCTACTCACTATCCTTTAGTTTGTGATTAAAGTTCAATTTATATTCTACAAATTAACTGTCCGATTGGTGCTGAAGGCACTGAGGAATGATGTGTTATCTTTTTTGTCACTCCTATGAGATATTTCCAAGCCCGAGGCTTACAAATGAAGTTTACCGTTCAAATTTATGGCTCAAATTTGCCTTTTCAACATTCATTTCATGTGTCTTTCTACTGGTGCTAATTTGGGGTTAACCGTTACACGAAACTATAACTGTTATAATCTGTTCTTCAAGTCAAAGAACTGAATCTTTTTTCATCTAAGTAGACTGAATGACATTTTATTTAAAAGATGATAGGATACCGGTTCCTTAGTAAGAAACGTCCCTGAATTGTCCCAAAATTACACTGAAATAAAGTCTCCCAAACCGCATGTATAAATTGTGTGCGTATGCTATTATTACTACACAAAAAATTGAAAATAGCTCATTTAGCGGTTACCGTTGCCTTCTTCCGATTGCCTCCTCTTCGATCATAGTCAATATGCTAGATAGTTAAATAAATCATTGGATCATTAAAAGTTGTCCATTTCGTCACCTTAATTATAAAAAAAAATCAAGAAATAGTTTCAAATATATAATTAAAATAGAAAAATATGATCCTGGTAACTTTAATGATTATGATTGTATTCAAATGTTACATCCCAATGACTATAAAACTTACTTATAATAACTTATAGAGTTATAGTCATATTAGTGTTCATATATTTTTTATTAGTAATATTTTCGAAAAAATCATCCTCTACTCTTTTAAAAACTTTTAGGGCTAGTCCCACAATGAGGGCGTTGGGGACTTGGGGTCGCCACTCCTCGGCAAGAGGCCAACCCTTTCGTGGGCCAACACTTTCCTACACATCATTTATCATTAATATCTTCCAAACTCACATTTATCGTTCGGCTTAATTGACTGGTTTAAGTGTGATAAGAATCAACAAAAGAATCAATATAAAAATGTATTGACATTTCATCCATCTCCTCACTTTTGAATGCTTTCACTTATCGGGTATGGATATCAGTATAAAGAAGAGATCAAATTTTCATATATCAAAGTCAAAAATAAAAATCTTAAATAAGCAAGAGCATCAAACTATGAACGTGTTTCACCAAGAGATGTTTTGGTTGAATTTAGGGTATATATGTGTGGAAAACAAGAATTTGTTCAAATAAGAGGTATATTTGGTGGTGAAAACGAGAAAATGATGTCATTTGTTTATGAATTCAGAGTGATGACGTTTTATTGTTAAGGGGTGAATTGAGTAGTTCAAGCGGATACATAAGTCATGTTCGTATCTACAGATCTACCTGCTCAAAAGTAACACATTATGTTTTTAAAACTCACTAAAAGCATGCACAGTGTAATTGAAGGAGGTGTGTAAGGGTTAGTTAAAGAGTGGGCTAAATAGTTCTAATTGGACTTCTTTGTGGTTGAAGGAGTGGCACGGACTTGACACGAATCAGCCAGAATTTATAGGGTATTTGGTACGGATTTGATACGGATATATCTATTTCATGTCAAATTTTGTGTTAATGCCGTTTTGTCACCAGCTATTTGGCACGGCGCCGTACCAAAATTATGTTATGATCCGTGCTAAACTCGATCATTTCGTGCAAAGTCCGTGCTAATGACATTGTTTACTAGTAGTGGTATTGAGCAACTCCAAAGTATGATATACTTGGAGAGTAATGTGAGCTTACATGAAATAGAGAGTAATATCCTTATTTATTAGGAACGAACCTAATAGTTTGTATATTTATAAACTAGGTAGTATAATTTTATAAAACAATATGCTCACAGTTAATTTTTGAAACTCTGCCTCCCTGGCCTAATACAACATTTCTTACATTGCCACTGGCTGCAAGCTTGGACAGGTGTACTTCAATAGATTAGGATTTAGAATAGAAGTGAAGAGTTTTGAGTAGAACATGAAAGCAACTTTGCAAGCATGATACTCACTACTTAGGTAAACACGTACCTAGAGCACAAAATAATGTATATTATCCGAGGTTGTAAACTACTACGTATGACATGTCATTGTAGGATTTTATGGTACCCTTAAGGTACCATACATTTGTCCACATGGACCAATCAGAGTGATGCAGTTGAATTATTTAAATCTAAA